GGTCAACAATTAAAATATCCACATTCTGTTTTAACTGAGTTTGGTTATTTTATTTTATTTTTTTCTACTTCAAATGTTGAATTCCATTGACTTTTCGACCCCTTTATACATAGTCTATATTCTGTTTTGTATGATTAAGTGAAACTCAGAATGTGGTTGATTTAATTAATAGGACTTTATTTGTGATAAACGATGGATATGAGATTTTCAAATCAAAGGCTTTAATTTGTGTCAGTAAAACGGCGGGTATAAAACGTTTCAAAGTTCATAATGCTATAGTGCTAACAGAAGGAGGTCATGGACACATAAAGTCAAATAAAAAATAAGAAGAAGATTATCACGGACATCTTTGGAAGGATTTATTACATTACTTCAGGTAATCGTCAAATATATCTATATTTGTTTCTGAAATGAAAGAGAAAAACACAAATCATTTATTACCCGTATTCCCAAAATATCAAGAATGATTAAATTACGTAAAATATTAATGGTATAATTCAATTCAATCTGACACATTTTGTACAAGCGTTTTTATTTAAAGTAAAATTATGGATAAATAAATAAGTACTTTGACAAACACATGACTTATAATTTGGGACATTTTGAAAAAGTAATACAAATGCAGTAAAATAGAAAATGGACGTATTTAATGAAACGGAAACCTAAGCTGCACCAAGCATGTCATCCGTTTGTAGCATAGCCACCACAGCCATCGCAAACTGGTAGAAGTAATTGCGTGGAAGATATTTTGAAGCTTTTATATCAATATCGCTCCAATTTCTCATTAATAAAGTACAGCAACAAGTCTTGTAATAACCATTTAGATCTTTATTGTTAGGGTTGGAAAATACAGCCATTGTGAAAGTGTAGTCTACATCGTTGGCTCGGTATCCCTGTGAAGTTTTGCTTCTAGCGAGAGATTTTGGTAAGAATCCAAGATATTTGCAAGGACCACATGTTGCATGGTTTATAAGTATGGCATAACCAACATTTGAGTTGTACTGCAACTACATGTAAGTGGTATGGAAGAATGTGAAGAGATCTGTTTCATTACAGTATCATACTGATGAACATTTGAGCGCATATGCCTTACTAAAATTTGTGAATGAGTTTGTCCAAGGCGATCAAAATCAATCTTTCCAGCGTCTGTTTTGAATATAAACATGTAGCCAAAGTTAGGATGAAATTCCAATAGACTCTGTATTGCTCTCCTCGGCTATTATAGAACGTATTTTACCCACATGATTGTAAAGATCCTAAAAGGTCATAAAAGACCAGGTATTATACGTTTACATGGTCCTCTATAAGATTTACTGAATTAATTGGTAATCTCCTTTTGAAGTCGGTATACTTAAAATGAAAACAAATTAAATGAGCTATTATCATGAACCAATGATTGGGGCATCACAAAATTTAAATATCTGGAAAAAATGATTCCTCGGAAGCATTAAAAACAGCAAAATTACATGAAAATTGCAGACTCGGTATGATTGATCCAAAACCAATTAACCGACCAACAGTAAAATACTTTAATGGTGTTCTTATGAAATGCTAGAACATGTACTTTTCCTTTTTAAACTTCATAAATGAGAAATATTTGCCAACAGTTTAATACAGTAATTTGGAAAAATATGACATTGACTAGCATCAATTTTCAGGTAAGCGATCGAGGCCCACCATTGCCTTCATTTTTTGTTTTCTTTTCAATAACACGTAATGCATTTACCATTTAAAGATTAGTGCATAATGGCCTTTATAACATATTTTTGCTGTTAAAGTTACTTTTTTCGCTTTTTAGTGCATGTTGTGAATTCTTAATTATTGGATAAAAGATCTTTAAAAGAGTGATTTACACTCATATATGAAAGAGGACGCATGTAAATTGCAAGAAGGAAATATTTTCTCACGATGCAAGCAAAATAGAGGCATGTTTGGCTGTAGTATATTAACGTGCAAACATGTGTCTTTTATATGGTGTATATATTTTAATTGCAGTTTAATAATTATCAATAAGCGCACGTCTTACCTACGCTTAGAAACTAAGCGTGTAAACAAATGGTAATTTAATGCTGGGAGTTGTTTATAAAGTTTATTTCAATATATCAACTAAAAGTACACCTAAATTCAGTTAATTTATAGATATAATGTAAACAGTACATTAATTATATACACTTATCATTATTTATTGTAGAATCCGAAATAAATAACAAGTAAATACCTGTGACATCGATTCGGATTTGGTTGTAATTGTACATCACTGGGCGTTTTTAAATAGATTATGATTTCAGAATAAATGTGTTGTAATAAATTCATGTTATGTATGTAGATTCACACACTTTTGAACATTTTGATATGAAATTAGTTTATTAAAGTATTTAAAAATCACTCGTAAGTCCATCACTTAAAATCATCATATTTTAAATCTTGTAACCAATACAAACAGAAAACTGCATTTCTAAGAACGACAGACAAAATTTTTAAGATATATGTTTTCTGGTTGCAATTAATCAACGGGAGCTTTGTATAGACTGCGGTCTGGAGCTTTGTATAGACATATTTTGCCGAAACGAAAACTTGTATGTCTATACATTTACTACAGTCACCACTTCGTTGGCACAAATAACATAATGCTCTAAACTGGGAAATACATTTATGCTTTTACATTTTCTTTGCCCTTTATTTTGCTGATACATGTAATATTAAAACCAAGATGGGTTAGTGAAAACCCCTATTGATTTTGAGGTCACTGGGTCAAAGGTCAAGGTCACAGGGGCCTTGACTTCAAAAAGCTTGTCCGCCTAATAACTTAAGATACCTATGACCCACAGTCTTCGCATTTGGCATGGAGGTTAGTCATGATGAGTAGATGACCCCTATTGATTTTGAGGTCACTTGGGTCAAAGGTCACAGGGGCCTTGACTTCAAAAAGCTTGTCCGCCCAATAACTTAAGATTTCTTTGACCCACAGTCTTTATTTTTGGCACGGAGGTTAGTCATGATAAGTAGATGACCCTTATTGATTTTGAGGTCACCGGGTCAAAGGTCAAGGTCACAGGGGCCTTGACTTCAAAAAGCTTGTCCGCCCAATAACTTAAGATTCCTTTGACCCACAGTCTTCATATTTGGCATGGAGGTTAGTCATGATTAGTAGATGACCCCTTTTGTTTTTGAGGTCTCCTGGTCAAAGGTAAAGGTCACATGGACACTGACTTCAAAAGCTTGTCCGCCCAATAACTTAAGATTCCTTTGACCCAAAGTTCTCATATTTGGCATGGAGGTTAGTCATGATGAGTAGGTGATCCCTTTTGATTTTAAGGTCACTGGGTCAAAGGTCAAGGTCACATGGACTTTGACTTCAAAAAATTATTCCGCCCATTAACTTAAGATTCCTTTGACCCACAGTCTTTATATTTGGCATGGAGGTTGATCATGACCATCAGGTGACCCCTATTGATTTTTAGGTCACAGGGACCTTGACTAAAAAAAGATTTTCCCCTCAATTGCTTTAGAATGCCTGTCCGCAGTGTATTGATTTTAACATTTTCACATTTGAAGCATGTAGAATACATGACATAGCAATGCACTGGCTTAGTAACCTCAGATTTGGCAGGGAGGTTGTCCGGGGTGAAATTATTGTTGCAGTCACACTTACCCCGGCAGCACTACGATAGTTCCCAACTAACCACCCAGGATGCGCTCCGGATCATCCAGGCAGAGCCCAGTTGAAGCTACGGTTCATGCCGGTGCTTCCACGGTCGTTCCCAGATGACGCCGGAAGAGCCCCGGTTGACCCAGACCGGGAATAAAAAGTCCCGAAAATGATAACATTGATACATAATTTTTATTTAATATAATATCTATTGTTCCAGAATAGTTATTCATGATGATTTTCTGAAAAGTCCTTATGCCAGACTGGATAAAAGGGAAATGGACAAACAAGTGCAATCATCGCAAATTGTCGTTATTCTTTTGAAATGAACCGGGCTTTGCTGGGGCTCTACCAGGATCAACCATAGCTCTACCTTTATCCTCCGGGGCTCTGCCTGTAGTTAACGGGGCTCTGTCGGCATCTACCGGGGCTCTACCGGGGCTCTACCGTAGCTCTACCGGCTATATCATACCCCGGATCTTCCCGGTTTGTGCCGGCAGCGCTACAGTGCTTCCCCGATACAACCCCGGTTGTTCCCGGCAGAGCTAAGGATGAAGCCGGCAAAGCTATACCTTCCCGGATCATCCCGGACCACCCCGGCGATATTAAATATTTTATTCAATCTGGGGTCGAATGCCAGATGTTCCCGGATCATCCCGGATCATCCCGGACGTTGCCGGCAGAGTTACGGATGTACTCCGGTTGTTCCAGGTCGTTCCCGGATCACCCCGGACGTCTACCGGGGATCTGCCGGGATGTAAGTGAGACTGTTGCTTAATGTTGGTAACCTTAGAATACAAACCTCTTATTGATCAATACATTTCATATCTTAATTGGAGAAAGTCATTCAGCTGCTTTACAAGATGTCCCTGGTTTATCCTACTTCAGTTTTTTGCATTGAATAACAGACAGGGAATCATTTATGGCCTTTCTTCAGCAGCTGCTGTAAAATTAACATAACTATGTGACATCAATACTCAACTAAGAAAAGATGGCTGCAATTTTTGAACATGAAGTGGATTTTGTGGACTTCAACAGACAATTTATTACGAATATTAAAACGTGTTTTGGTTTTATTTGCCAAAAGATGCAAATTTTTATTTGATTACATATGCTTCACATGTATGTACAAGTGTTTTCTTACTGCACAGTAGGTTTTAGAGAACGTTTATATCATCTGTTTAGATGAATATGTAAATAAAACTGTTGAATGTCTTTATTTGATTTTCCAGCTCCAATTTTGGAGCGGTCCATTTCAATTTAGGGATATCAAGATGAAAATTTAAAGTTAGGTCAACCAACTTCTGTTATATATACAAGGCAAATAATCTTTATATACTGATAGTCCTAGCAAGGTTTAAATTTGGCTATTTTCATATTTTACAGAGGATTAGTTCCACAATGTTTTGCCATTTTAAAAACTTGTCATGAGCTTGCAGAGCGTCTTGTTGGCATGACGATGAACAACACTGACAAGATACGTACAGAAGAAATGTTAACAGAAATAGTCTCAGTAGCAAAGAAAATCAACCCTCGTGTTGATGAAGTTGTGAATTCAATGTATCCCCCTCTAGATCCTAGATTGTTAGAAGCAAGGTATGTACTAATATCTGGATATATTCAGTTTTAATTAAGACTGTACCCGTTTCTTGTTTGTACCAGTTCCTAGATTTTACCAGTTCCTGAATTTGACTAGTTTTTCGATATGATCATTTTTGGATAAAAACCCGTCTCTGGATATGCTGGATATGAATAGTTTCTGGATAAAACCAGTTTCTGGATAGTACCAATGTCCGAAATTTGACTGGTTTCTGAATAGTACATGTACCAATTTCAGTTTCTGGTTTTGGATGTATAAATAACACAGATTTACAAAATACTAGTATTCCTGTACAGTATTGAATATTATTTACATAACATTTAATATGTTAAGAACTTTTTTTTAAGTTTATAGTATGTTTTCCTAGCTTCTAAGATAATAATAGTATCATATTTTAATTCATGAAAATATAATACACCAAACTTAATACATTATTCTTTTGATGTTTTAAAGTACTTTATTTTTTTAATATTATATGAGTTTACAGAAATTACCAAGTAAGTGGTAGTTTTCTGAAAGAAAATACAGGTTATTAAATTGTTGAACATCAGCAGGTGTATTATGGGCAGGGCAGGCGTTAACCAGAGATCTTATTTCTTCATATGACACCAGTACTAGTTGGTTCAAGGAAGCAGACTCGAAAGTGCTTAATATAAGTTGTAATAACTTGTTTCGCAATCGAGCTTAAATAAATATGTTTATACCAATAGACTGTCGCATAAGTATTGTAAGTGTAAAGTGCAATAAAGAACTAATGATTGTTTAGGTAACATGTGCTTAAAAATAATACTTTATGAGTTTATTATGCCATCTCCTTAAATAATTTAATAGGAATTAACCAATTAATTCACAAATATGAGGATATATTGTTATGAGTAAATTATCATCAATCATGGTTATCAATACTGTTCAGAAATTAATGTTACAGTAACAAGAGATCTACAATAAATACAAAGAGAATATTTGTTTAGTTAATACAAAGTGACGTCATTATTAACGTCATTATTAACGTCACGTCAGTAACTTGGTCTCCAGTACTGTGTACGCTGGTATTTCACTGAAACAAGGTAACAGGCTTAAATTCAAAACAGTAAAAAATATTTAATTGATAATTTCACTGTTTCAAACAGAGAAAATATCAGTTTTTTATTTCACTGATATATAAAAGCTCCATGATATCTATAAACCACCGAAAAACATGTATCAAAAGAGTTATTATATTGTTATTGCAGGTGTACAGCATTAGTTCTCTTAGTTAGTCATTTAGTTCTGGTCACAAAACAAGCGTGTAGGTTGTCACAAAATATAGGCTGGATTGACCAGTCGTTAGCAGATGCTGATGATCATTTAAAAGTAAGTACCAGCATTGTTAAATGAGTTATCTTCTCTTTGGTGCTTGTCCAAAACATAATCACAGTCATGTGTGAACCTTATTAGTTGGGACAAGTTAGATATGTTTCCACAATTTCATAGAGACTAGGCTAAGCAATATAAGAAATTGTTTAGCGTTTCCTTTGAAACTGAGCAAAGCTATATTAGTTATTTCCCCTTTTCAAAAAGGCAAAGACTTATCTTTCTTGATACTATGTAATTTAAGTGTTAATAATGTTATTATGCCATATATGGTGTAAGGTGTATATTATTAAAGGCAGAAAGTCACTATGTAGGTATGATTTACTAGGATGCAGCCCAAACTTGAGTTACCTGACTGCCTGACTGTTGTCAGTTAAGATAATTATTAGCAATAATGACACACCTTTGCAGCCAATATAGAATAAAGTGAACTGTCCTTAAATACACTGTGTCAAGACTCTTATAATGTTACTTGCTTTATTTAGCTCACCAGAGCTGGAGGCTCAGGTTGAGCTATACGTATCAAAGGGGGATACTTCGGCGTCGGTCATCATGCGTCAACAATCGTCTTCTTCTCTGAAACCGCTGGGCAGATTTACTTCAAATTTGGTCTGTAGCATCCTTGTGACAGTCACACTTGAATTTGCTCATGTCATTTCAATTGACCCCTTTTAGGGGTCAAAAGAGCTAAAAATAGAAAAACCTTTAAACATCTTCTTCTACAGAACTAATGGATGGATGATCACCAAACTTTGTCTGTAGCATTCTTAGACTTTTATCAAGTTTGCTCATATTAATTTGATTCGCCCCTTTTCGGGAATTCTAGAGCTAAAAATAGAAAAACCTTTAAACATCTTCTACAGAACTAATGGATGGATGATCACCAAACTTTGTCTGCAGCATTCTTGGGAAGTATTTTATCAAGTTTGCTCTTATTAATTTGATTCGCCCCTTTTCGGGAACTCTATGGCTAAAATAGAAAAAAACCTTTAAACATCTTCTACAGAACTAATGGATGGATGATTACCAAACTTTGTCTGCCGCATTCTTGGGAAGTCTTTTATCAAATAGAGATAAACAGAATCCCTAAAGAAAGCCCAACACGGCAAAATTGACAATGTTGCAGGCTCGGTTTGATTGAGCCTGTTCATGGACGGTACTGGATAGTGCAAGTTACCGTCCACGCCCCCTAGCACCGGCTTAAGCAGAATTCAACATTATACATGAACTGGTACAATTTGGAATTTTGAAACATCCGCAGATGTGTACATATGGCGGTTGTCATGGAACCTTCAATGTGACACGTAAGTGCCATTCCATGAAAAGCGGCATATTTTGCAAGTTTGCTCATATTAATTTGATTGGCCCCTTTTACAGGCCGCTAAAGCTAAAAATAGAAATACCTTTAAACATCTATATCTAGAGATGATCACCAAACTTTGTCTGTAGCATTCTTGGGTAGTCTTTAATCAAATTTGCTCATATTAATTTTATTGGCCCCTTTTAGGGGTCTCTAGGGCTAAAAATAGAAAAACATTTAGACATCTTCTTCTACAGAACTAATGGATGGATGATCACTAAACTTTGTCTGTAACATTCTTGGGTAGTCTTTTTGCTCATATTAATTAAATTGGCCCCTTTTGGGGCCACTAAAGCTATATAGAAATACCTTTAAACATCTATATCCAGAGAACTTATTGATGGATGATCACCAAACTTTGTCTGTAGCATTCTTGGGTAGTCTTTTATCAAATTTGCTCATATTTATTTGGTTCGTCTCTTTTAGGGGTCTCTAGGGCTAAAAATAGAAAAACCTTTAAATGTCTTCTTCTACAGAACTAATGGATGGATGATCACAAAACTTTGTCTGTAGCATTCTTGGGTAGTCTGATATCAACTTTGCTCATATTAATGTGATTGGCCCATTTTAGGGGCAGCTAAAGCTAAAAATAGAAATATCTTTAACGATCTATTTCTACAGAACTAATTGATTGATGATCACCAAACTTTGTCTGTAGCATTCTTGGGTAGTTTTTTTATCTAGTTTTCTCATATTAATTTGATTGGCCCCTTTAAGGGGCCACTAAAGCCAAAAATATAAAACCTTTGAACATTTCCTACTGAAATAATTGATAGATGATCACCAAACTTTGTAGCATTATCAGGTAGTTTTTTATCAATTTTGCTCATATTAATTTGATTGGAGCCGGTTAAGCCAAAGCTTAAATGCCCCAGGTCATGGCATTTGTTCAAATTATTGTTTAAACATATTCTATGCTCAAATTAAATATCAGAAAATATTGACAATGGATAATTTCCAACTCTTAAAAGCAGTTGTTTCTGGTGAGCGACTCAGGGCTATTATGGCCCTCTTATTTAGTCATTTAATCTTAAAAATTCCTAAAGTACATAATGGATCACAACAATTTCAAAAGCAGGGCCTGTCCATGACCCAGAAAATCAGTTGGGTAAAAATCTGTTAAGGTTATAACTTACTTGGCTCAGATATTATCATCCTGTCACTCATTGGTAAAACTGCATTGTTGTATCTTTAATCTGCTTGATTATAAACTAACTCAAACATAGTTAAAGGGACTCCACTGAGGTCCTAAAGCATAAAAAATAGTAACATTTGATTTTTTGTGCCCCCACTTCATTGGCGGGCATTTAGATTTAGCCTTGTCCGTCCGTCTGTTCTCTTTTGTTTCGCGCGTAACTCAAAAAGTATTTGACCTAGAGTCATGAAACTTAACATGAATGTTGATCAGCATGTGCAGTTGTGCACCTGGGTATTTTCGTGTGGATTTATGCGGTATTTTTAGAGTTATTGCCCTTGACTTTTGTAATTTTCAATTTGTGTCGCACGTAAGTCAAAAAGGATTTGACCTCGAGTCATGGAACTTTACAGGAATGTTGAACAGCATGTGTACTTATGCACCTTGGGGTTGGCTTGCGAATTTATTCAGTATTTGTAAAGTTCTTGTCCTTTACTTAGTAAAAGATTTTTAGTTATCAACTTGTGGCACATGTAGTCTAAAAAATATTTGACCTAGAGTCAAAAGATTGATAGAACAGTGGCGTGTGGGGGCACCTGTGTCCTATGGACACATTTCTAGTTTTTACATGGATCAAGTGGGGCACTTTTAATTATATAACAGGAAGATATGCAAAAGAGAATTAAGAAATATACTCAGAAATAAATTAAAAATTGAAGGTTTTTTTGTGCTATTAAAATAAAAGAGAAACAGAAAAAAATGGAGTGAGCAAATGATTTGAAATTTTGCACTAAAGTTTTTCATCAAGACCTACATCAAAATTTTAATGGAACATGAATCTTGAAAAATATTTTCGGTCCTGTCTTGTCAAAATGTGTCAGTGGAGTCCCTTTAAGAAGTCACAGAGAAATATTCATCTGAAGCTAGGATTGTTATCATGCATAAACTCAATGACTTAACTAGTTCTGACATGAATATTATCAAGGTCTCAACAATTCAGATTATTTCTTTTTCATCATATTCATTTTATAGGGCATTTCAGACGACTTTTATCAGTTTTTAAGGTGCATTTAATAGTACAAATTGCATTTTGTTTTCAAATTGGCAGAGAAAAAAATGAAACATTTGATTTAGTCTGCTAAATGAAAATAATCTTTTAAAAAAAAAGAAGATAAACTGTTATAATTCCATAACTGAATATGCAATAAAAGAGAAATGTGTAAGCAGTAAACTTGAATATTCATGTGCAATTTTTTTTAAATAATCCTTTTTATAGCTTATAGGAACTCCACTAAGGTCCAAAAGCCTAAAAACATTAAATTTGAAATCATTCAATTTGAATTTTTTTACATAGATCAGCTGGGGCACTTAAAACAGAAAGACATTCAAAAGATAAACAGAAAGACATGCAAAAGATAATTAACAAATACACTACTATTTTTTGTACTATTGCTAGTCCGATTTAATTTTGAGTCATTATTCACCATTAGAATAGTAATTCTGGAAAAAAAAGTAGTGAGCGAATGATAGAAAATTTCCCACAAAATTTAAAGGTCGAGACCTACATCAAATGGAACATTAATCTTGAAAAATTATTTCCAGTCCGGTAATGTTTGTAAAACCTCAGTGGAGTCCCTTTAATGGGTCTTTGAGAAAGTCCTTCTAGCAGATATTGTGAATAAAAGAGATAAATATGAAGTCCTAATTCATGCGAAATTGACTCTATTGACATTGTTTGTACGGATACATGTTAATTTTATTATAAACATTAATAAAATAAACAAATAAAACTATTGAGATATGATGTGATATATTCATGTAACATAGATTATAGGGCATAATAGGGCTAGATAAAGATTACTTTGTTTAGTTTGAAGTAGCCAATTTTAAAGATTTGTAATCTCGTTCTAGGAAGTTGAAATGTTCATTTGTATATAAACCGAAGAAGAGGTGACTTAGTGGAGATAAGGGTGTTTGTTGGTACATTTGTAGAGGATTTTGGTACATCTGTAGAGGATTTTGGTACAAGTTGATAATATTGTACAATATAATGGTCAGACAATTATATTGATAAATTGACTGGCCAGTTTTGTATGAAACTTCCGTTCATATCAGTTACAACATATATTTAACCATTTAAATACCTGTCGTATTTAACAATCATATGAAATGAACCAATGGGCCCATAATTTAGCTTTGAGCTGTAATGAAAAAAGAAAAAGAAAAAAGAGATGTTTATTAAAACAAAAATACACAACTTATAGTATCATTAGTAGATGTTGCAGGTAAATGTCACAGTTTAAAACTCTTTTTTTGTTGTGTTTCAGAAAAATCTGGCTAGAGAATGATATTTTGTGTGTTCTTTGGGATCATTGTTTTCTGTGCAATGTTAAAGATTGAATGCTAAGTATGCCTGGTCTAAGGGCAAGAGAGATATTCTACGTTTAATTTCCTTCCATGGACATTCTTAGTCAAACAAAATTTGTTTGTTTTTGTTTTTATAAGCCCGAAAGGGCATATTATCTTATACCCCCTGGCGTCCGTCTGTCTGTCTGTCTGTCAGTCCGTCTGTCCGTACGTCCGTCCGTCCGTTAGCAATTTGGTTTCCGGAGCATAACTTAAGTTCCATTTGGCCCACAGTGTTCAAACTTCATAGGATGATTGTCCATATTGGGTAAAAGACCCCTATTTATTTTGGGGTCACAAGGTCAAAGGTCAAGGTCACTATTACCTTGATTCTGAAAACAGTTTCCGGAGCATAACTGAAGTTCCATTCGACCCACAATGTTCAAACTTCATAGGATGATTGTCCATATTGGGTAGAAGACCCCTATTGATTTCTGGGTC